TAATAATAATAGTATAATAATAATAATAATAATAATAATAATAATAATAATAATAATAATAATAATAATAATAATAATAATAATAAGTAATAATAAGTAATAATAATAATAATAATAATAATAATAATAATAATAATAATAATAATAGTAATAATAGTAATAATAATAGTAATAATAAATAACAATAATTTTTTTCCTTTCAAAATCTAAGGTTCAATCAATAATTGCTTGCTGATTCAATCAGTAATTACTTACTGATTGAATCAATAATTACTTATTGATTCAATCAATCATTACTTATTGGTTCAATCAATAATTAATAATAGTTTCTTAAATTAACAAAAGGAGAAAGAAGGAAAATGAGGAAAAGAAGGCAATAGATCTTCCATTTGCTAAGCTAATCAAATATTCTGAGATATGAATCACACGGCATCATCACTGTGCGTGCCATAAATTTGAATTAAAATTGAGGAATGAATGAAGTAATTCCTTTTTATTTGTATCGATTCCTGATAATTTTCCCCTTTTAATTAATTATTTTCCTTCAAATTTCCACAGTGAATCATCTTTGATGACATTGGATGATATCATGAAACAATATATATTATAATTTCAGGTGATGCTACCTGTTCAGCTAAATAAGAGTAGAGCAGCTGCAGCTCGTAGTTTATATGGTCTTGGACCGGAACAGTTACTTGGTACTTTCTTTCTTCATTTATCTAGTTTTAATAAAAATACAAAATTCTTGACAGTTTATGTTTCGTTTCATTTTTTGATAAATTATTATTTCATTTCAGCCTATGCTTCTTGTTTGCCCCGACTTGGTACATATGGTACAAGCATGTTTTATAGCGGTGGAAGTAAGTTCTCTTTAACTATATAATCAGTTCTCGTAAATAGTACTTTGGGTTGCATACAGCAATGTTAGAAATATGAGACATGTCGAAAATGAATATGTTTAATTATTAATCTACTGAATTCTATAAATTTTGCCAAATAGCTTCAAAAAACTTAAATGTTATGACAGATAGCTTGAAAAATGGAATTAAGCTAATACTTGAATTTAAACGAATCATTTCTCTATTACAGTTTTCAACGGGTTTCAATCATACGCTCCGCTTGCACCCACATCACCACCTGGTAGCGTTACAAACGGTGCTGCAGCTGCTGTAGCAGCTAGTGCCGCTGGCGTAACACGTGGGTTAAATTTAGCCGCAGCTCAAGCAGCTGCGGCTCAACAGGCGGTCGCATTTGAGGCGGCAGCACTGTACGCCATCGGTGGTGAACCATTTGCGGGCATATATCCGGCTGCTATACACCATCAAACACCTCAACTACCCCATGCTTTCCACAAGGTCTAAAGACTTTCCGGCGCTAACTCTCCATAGTAAGTTATGCCGAATCGTGCATTTTTCTCTTTTTATGCTTGAATTCAATATTTGTTCTTATCAAAAAATTGGATTCTAAATGTGTCTTAAAGCTGAAATACGAAGTGAAATTTGTATTATTTGCTATTTATCGGATTATATTACTTTTCGTCCCAACATACAGAATCATAAGGTATAGGCAATAATTGAAGGATTAATTAATTAGGATCGAAACGATGATGATGAAGTCTTTGAAAGATGCTTCAGTGAAAAAACTTTTTTTTTAATACTTTTTTGGTTATGAATTAAAGTTCCTTTTTCGTCCTCATGCATTCACTCCTTTCATTAGGCGTATTTGCCTGCTGCCGTTAATTAATGATTATCAACTAGTCACACATCTATGCAAAATTCATTAATCCATTTTGCTCTTCAAACAATTCTCGCCAAAAGATTCATCTAATAAGAAGAGCTTTTCTTCCTTTCCTTTCTTTTTTTTTTTATAGAAATACACGCTGAATGCTGCTGATATAAATGGAGTGACAAAATTTTTTTTCTCTTCTTAATCGATTCGCTCTTTATTTCTTCTTCAATTTAAAAGTAAGAAAATGATGTTTATAGTGGGAATGAAAGTAACAACAATAGAAGAAGTAAACAATGCAGTGTTAATCGAACTTCACAATGTCAACGAGTGAGTTAAAACAGTATATACGGCAAATACGCACAACAAACCTGAAATCACCTCTTCGTAATATATCCTCCTTTATCTGATGAGATAAGAAAGAAGACAATTATGTTTTAATTTTTTAACAAAATTTTTTTCTCTATTACCCTCTCATACCTTCTTTTCCCTCATTATTCTTTTTTCTTTTTTTTGTTTTCAATTTTTATTACTTTTCCTCCGACCATATGTAATGTCGTATCTTTGTCGCTTTTCTTCCTCCATTTTTTTTCAATACTTATTCTAGAAAAGAAAAAAAAATTGGTACTTTCTAATTTTTCTTCAATTACTTTTCTTTTTTTAAATATACGCATGAAAATCTTCGGTTAACAAACTTTGTGTAAAACATTTATACAACATTGTTTGTTTAATTTGAATGGTCTCTGCATGACTTGAAAAATGCGTGTAATATGCATGTCACTGATGCTATGATTGGGAAAAATGTTTGAAAACATTACTGCTTTTCAATTTTAAGCCTTTCATTTCAAAAAAGCAATTTGATAAATTTATAAAATTTGAGATATTTTTTTCTTTATAATTTGTCTCCTCCATTTTTTTTCAAACATTAACAAATGAAAGCAAACTATAACTTTAATATACTCCATTTTCTTCCTTTATTCCTTTAAATATATTTTTCCTCTCACTTCGATATGGTACATAAGAAGCCCAGCAATAACTGATATATGTCCAGGTTATTTGCAATATGCCCCTACTTTTAAATTTTATTATTATTATTATTATTATTATTATTATTATTAATTATTATTATTATTATTATTATTATTATTATTATTATTATTATTATTATTATTATTATTATTATTATTATTATTATTATTATTATTATTATTATTATTATTATTATTATTATTATTATTATTATTATTATTATTATTATTAT